AGCTTTCTTTCCCTCAATAAATATATTCTGCTCATTAAAAAAAAAAAAAAAAAAAGAAAGAAAGAAACAAAGACAACACAATACACACAGTCAGAACTGATGGGCCTAATTTTGCTCAGTAATACAGATAGCTGTCAGAAACAATGTGAAAGCCAGTGGAGTGGCGCATGCCCCAACCCTGTAATCCCAGCACTCTGGAGGCTGAGGCAGGAGGGTCACTGAGGCAGGAATTCCAGGCCAACCAGGTACATAGTGAGCTGAAAGCCAGTTGGAAACTGCATAGTGAGACCCTGTCTCAAAAAATAAATAACCAAACCAACCAACGCCTAATAGGTGAGATGGGGAAACAGACAGACACTAAGGATTAAAGTTTTTGTACATGGGCGTGGAGGAGGTGGGGCCAGAGTCTGAGTATAGTTGAAAACAGAAGATCTGAGGTCCCAGGCGTCAGGAACGTAGGTAGGGATGGCCCTCTCCACTCACCGACCCAAAGAGAGCGGGAAACCATGTTAGAAACTGAGAAAGTTGGTCAACCGCGGAGTCACCAATACTGAGCGCTTCTGGGCGCTCGCTGAGCAACGCCTGAAAAGGCCCGGATGCACGCCGTGCACACCCCAGCACCATCCGAAGCCGCGGCAGGAGGATCCCAGGTTTCTCCCAAGTCTGGAGAATTTGGCTCTGAGACGCAGTTGGAGGCAACTCAGAGCTCAGGATGCGGGGAAGGCCTGAGTTCGAGCCACGTACCACCAAGAAAAGACACACTAAGTCGAGGTGGGGAGCGATCCCCAACAAAGGCCCGGAAGAGGCCCATAAAGTTCTGGGGTTGGGGCGGCCGGGGAGAGCTGCATTGCACCGTTCTGGGGAGACGAGGTGAGCCCAGCAAATGGGCGGTGTGGGAGGGAACCCCGAAACTGCGCCCCCGGGGCCCGCGCGCCACCCCACCCGCGCCCGCGAGCACTCACGGATCTGCTCGGCCATGGGCAGGTGCGACGTGGTGCAGGCGAGGAAGCACTCGTTGCCCATGTCCCAGTCCAGCAGCCCGGGCACCTGGCCATGGAGGCTAGCCCAGAAGCCGGCGTCGCGGAGTCTCACGGCCACCGTGGGAGGAGAAGGGCGCGCGGGCGGGCCGCGACGCCCCCGCCCACGCCGCTGCCAAGCTGCCGGCGGCCGCCCAGGAGCGCGGGGTGAGCGGCAGGGCGCCCCGACCTCACCTCCGCCCCCTTCCCGCGGCCAGAAGGATGCCCCGGCCGTCTCTCGCGCGGGTCCCGCCGGTCCACAAAGCTCTCCCGAGGAGTTCCCAAGAATCCCGCGATAGTGTTAATAGCGGCTTCCTGAAAGTTGTGCTAGGTCTTAGGGTTTATCGAAGTTTGCATCTGCAGTAGGTGGTGGTGATAGCATTAGAATGAATGTTGATTGGACTTTTAAAGTTTTGGGTTTTTGGTGGGCGTGGTGGTGCGTGCTTGTAATTCCATCACTCTAGGAAGCTGAGGCGGGAGAAGCCCAAATTCAAGTCCAGCTGGTGCAATTTAAGCAAAATTGGTGGCGGGGGGAGGGGGAAAGCTCCTGGAGTGCTGGCTGTATTGCCAACACTTGGGAGGCTGAGGCAGGAGGATAGTTGAGAATTCCAGGCCAGCCTGAACTACACAGTGGGACTCTGGCTCAGACAAGAGGAAGCCACGCCAAGGATCTAAGTTAAGAAAGCCCGGGGCCAGGGAGATGGCTCAGTGGAATACGCGCTTCCCTGGCAAGCGCAAGGGCCTGAGCTCAATCCCCGGTTCTGCAAAAAAAAAAAAAAAAAAAGAGAGAGAGAAAGCCCTGGATTCAACCTCCGGCATGCCCTCCCCCACCAGAAAAGTGTATGATATATTGAACTTTACAGGTTATTCGTGGTGGCGTGGTGTGCCCCTTAATCCTAGCATTCTAGGAACTGGGGCAGGGGATCACCACAAATCTGAGGTCAGCCTGAGCTGTACTGCAGCCAACACTGATTGTGTTTTTGTTTTGAGACAAAGGTTTGAGCTCTTGAGTAACATTTACTTTTTTTTTTTTTCTTTTTCTTTTTTTTATCCAGTACTGGGAATTGAAGCATAGAGCTTCTGAAGACATATGCTGTCAGTTTTCTCATTAGTAGTGTTAATTTCAGTTGCTTGGTTTAGTGGTATCCGCCAGGGATTTTTTTGTTGTTGCTTTTCTTTTTTGAGTCAGGGCCTTGCCGTATAGCTCAGGCTGGGATTGAGCTCACTTCGCAGCCGAGGCTGACCTGACCTCCTGAGTGCTGGGATGACAGGCGTGTGCTGCCACACCCGGCTCTGGCCAGGTTTTTTCAATGTAAGTTTACCCTAGTCTTTTAGTAAGCAGTTTGTGGGGGATACGTAGCACTTGTCTAATATCCGGGGTTGTTTGGGGGGAGGGGATGTTTGTGACTGCCTAGGTAGTTCAGGCTGGCCTTGAACTCAGTGATCCTCCTGCTTCAGCCTCCCAAGTGCTATGATTACAGGTATATCCCACACCCTACTAATTACCTAATATTCTGATTCTGTTTATCAAATCTGAACCCACCTGCATCCAATTATTTTTTTAATATTTATTTATTTTTATTTATTACATTTATTTATTGGATGTGTGTGTGGCCAGCTCAGCCCACCAGGGGGCGGGGCTGGCTGGCATGTGGTGCTGGGGATCGAACCGCGGTCCCTGTGCTTTGCCAAGCTTGTTTCAAGTAGGTGCTTTAGACCACTGAGCCATCTCTCCAGCCCCAACAGGATTTTTTTTTTTTTTTGGCGGAACCGGGGATTGAACTCAGGCCCTTGTGCTTGCTAGGGAAGCGCTTAGTCTACTGAGCCATCTCCCCGGCGGTCACCTGCATCCAATTATAACTGCTGTCTGACCCAGTCATTACTTAAAGTGGTTTTAAAATTTCTTTTTCAGTACTAGCAACTGGATCCACAGCCTGTGCGTGCTGGGCCAGCACCCGACTGATGAGCTCCTTACTCCCACAGTTCCCTCATTGTTCTTGTGACAGGTGCTGCCTGACTTGGCCAAACTGAATTGCTGATCCTCCTGCCTCAGCCTCCCTAGTGCTGGGATTACAGGCGTGTGCTACCGTGCCTGGCTAGATCATGTTGTGGATTGGACTCCTTAGAGTTTGCTTTGGATCTAGGAGCTGTTTTGTTTTCCTGTGTTCTGAGAAACTTCTCATAGATTAATTGGTTTAAAATGTTTCCTTCTGGGGCTGGTGAGATGGCTCAGTGGTCTAAAGCACGTACTTGGAACAGGCTTAGCAAAGCACAGGGACTGCGCTTCAATCCCCCAGCACCACATGCCAGCCAGCCCGCCCCCTGGTGGGCTGAGCTGGCCACACACACTCAATAAATAAATAATTTAAAAAAAAAAATGTTTCCTTCTAGCTGGACATAGTAGTGCACACCTGTAATCTCGGCCCTTGGGAGGCTGAGGCAGGAGGATCACTGCAAGTGTGGGGCCAACCTGGGCTGCATAGTGAGTTCAAAGCCAGCTTGATTTATATAGTGAGAACTGGTCTCAAAATTTTCCTTCTAACTCTTCCAAAGAAGAGCTTTTCTTCTCTCAGTTTTGTTTATTATCATTATGGACTTTTTTTTTTTGCGGAACCAGGGACTGAACTCTGGCCCTTGTGCTTGCAAGGCAAGTGCTTATTCTGCTGAGCTATCTCCCTGGCCCTATCATTATGAGCTTAATGGTTCTTTTTTATTTTTGTTTATTTTGTATTTTAGGGAAGGGTCTACAGGATGTTCAGGATCTCACTACTAGATGAGACTCATAGTGACCCACCTATTTACAGCCTTCCAAGAGCTGGGATTACAAGCCCATTAATGGTTCTTTTTTATTTATTATTTATTTATTTATATAATTTTTTTGGTGGAATCAGGGATTGAACTCAGTCCCCTTGGTTCTTTTTTATTTTATTTTATTTTATTTTTTAATTTATTTATTTTTTTGGCAGAATCAGGGATTGAACTCAGGCCCTCGCGCTTGCAAGGGAAGCACTTATTCTACTGAGCCATCTCCCCAGCTCCTGGTTCTTTTTTAGAGTGGATTGTAATTCTTTTTTTTTTTTTTTTTTTTAGACAGGGTCTTGCTGTGTACTCCAGGCTAGCCTTGAACGCAACTCCCCGAGTGGTCCAGGCTAGCCTCACATTCATGGCGATCCTCCTGCCTCAGCCTTGCAGGCGCTGGGATTACAGTGATAAGCAATCCACACCCAGCTGTTCCTTGCCTTCTTCCCTTCCTTCCTTTACCTCTTTCTCTTTATCTCTTTCTTTCCCTCTCCCTTTCTTTCTTTTTCTTTATCCCTCTTTCTTTCTCAGATCTCACTATGTTGCCCAAACTGGCTTCAAACTGTTGGGCTCACGGGATCCTCCTGCCTCAGTCCCTTGAGTACTGGCGACCGCAGGTATGCACTGCTACACTTGATTCACTGTTTTTGTTGGCTTTTGTGGCACCGAGGAGTCTTCTCCTGGAGCGCCCCCAGCCCTCTGCTGTTTATTTTGCGATGGGGCCTGGCTGAATTGATTAATTGCCCCGGGCTCAGACTTCCCACCCTCCTGCCTGGGCCTCCCAGAGTGTGGGGGCTATGGGTGCTTCATTCTGTATTTTCCTCCTGAAATTGTGTCAGACGTGGCCACTGGTCGAGGCTCTCAGGCTCCTGAAGCATCCTGGGCCCCTGTCAGGCCCCTTCCACTCGGGTCGGGTTACTTGCCAGGTGGAAACTTGCTTTTTAGGATTTCAAGTGAATATGATCCCAGTTGCTAAATTTGGTGGTGGCTGGGATGGAAACCGAAGAGGAAAAATTTGAAGAGTAGAACACAGGAGCTAGGCATGGTGCTGCACGCCTGTAATCCCAGCATGCCTGTAATCCCAGCACTCAGGAGACTGAGGCAGAGGCTGGGGAGATGGCTCGGTAGATTAAGCGCTTGCCTGACAAGCACAAGGGCCTGAGTTCCGCCAAAATAAATAAATAAATAAATAAATAAATTAATTAATAGAGACTGAAGCAGGAAGATTGTTTTGAATTTGAGATCATCCTGAGCTACAAAGTGAGCTCCAGGCCAGCCTGAACTGCATTGTGAGACCCTGTCTCAAAAAGACAAAAAACAGAGCCGGGGAGATGGCTCAGTGGAATAAGCACTTGCCTGGCAAGCGCAAGGGCCTGAGTTCAATCCCCGGTTCCACAAAAAAAAAGACAAAAAACAAAGTAAGGGGGGCCTGGCCCTAGCTCAGTCCTTTAAGTGGCTGCTTCCACAAAGCTGTCAGCCTCAGGTTGCTGGAGTTTGAACTTCACACCTCTCCAGCCAAAAGTGCCCTGAAGGCATTCGAGGAACCAAAAAACAAACAAAGTAAAGTACTTTTATCACTGAGCTTCATCCCCAGCCCAAAATTGATTATATTTTTATATTCAAATCATTTTCTTCATGGATGTTTTGGGATGGTGGTTTTTGTTGTTGTTGTTGTTTTTTTTGGTTGGTTGCTTAAAAATATAGTGGTTCAGGGAGAAGGAGCCAGAGCTTTTCACAAGTGACCAAGTAGGGCCGGGATATAGCTCAGAGGTGCATTGCCTGTCTAGAAAGCCACAGGGTCCTGAGTTCAATTTCCAACACCAAAAAACCCCAAAACAAATCAAGTGAATGAGTACAAGCTGGCCATGGTGGTACACACCTGTAATTCTAGCATTTGGGAGGCTGAGGCAAGTTCAGGCCAGCCTTGGCTACATGCACGGAGACCCTGTCTCAAGAAAAACCAAAAAAAAAAAAAAAAAAGAAAAGAAAAACCAAAACAAACAAAATCAAATGAATAATGAATGAAGTTTTATAATACATCTACCATTTAACAGCTTCTCAAAGTCATCTACCAATAACAGATGTTTATATCATGCAAATCATATATAAGAGGGCCAGCCAAATAGCTCAGCGGATTAAAGCACCTGCAAGCAGGCACAGGGACCAGGGGTCCAATCCCCAGGCTTGCTGTGCTGGCCCTGCCCCCTCCTCCTCTGGGGCATG